ATTAATTAGTGAGGGGCCAAACCTGGACAGCCACTGCCGTCTTGTCCCACTTCTACGTATTAAGTTTCAAAAGGGATTGTACACTTGGACAGTAAATTATTAAATACGTATCTATTATGTCCAAGTACTGGTTCCAAAATTCGTTTTGTCCCAGTACTACCTCCTTTACCTTATGCATATTCTGTGTCATGGACGGTTTTCAATTTTACGCGATTATACGATCGAAGGGCATAGGGTCTAAACGAGAGTAGATTGATTAATAAAGGGCACGTCGAAGGAAATTGTCGATGGACGTAACAGTAGAACCGATGTACGGTTATTTGCGCAGGTGTTGCCCCGTAGCTTCACACCTGTTCGATCTTTCGGCAAAATCGAATAAACTTTTGCACGTTCGTCTTGTTCGCGGATCTTCCACATTTGGTCTCTCATTTTAAAGTCGAACGAGGTGACAATATTAACACCGACCCAGGTGTATATGCACATTCAATTCTACACTCGTCTGTACATTTATTTCATAATTATTCTAATGGTACATTTACGTGGACGAGACAAATGAATTCACTTTTTTTCCCAGTTTTTAAGAATGAAAATAAGTGAAAAAATTGAGAATGAAAGGCAGAATTCGCTACGAGACGGGATAGGAAAAACTGTTGACACGCCGATGTTCCTTTTTTCAGAAATTGTACTGTGTTGAAAAGTGCAAGGAGGGGGCGGATGACATCCTTTTCCTGTACTGAAATTACCGCTGGTTCAAGTACGCGGCATGCTACGGCCGAGCAGGTGAAGTACACAGCTGCTGGACAGCTGGACAGCTGGACCGATATCCATTCGCAGGTATGCGTGTTAAACTTGAATACTCGTACGCGTGTACACACGAAAATCGGGTCGCGGGCCACCGCTGAACGATAACCGTCCCGATCGAACTCGCGGTCAGAAGGAAAACGGCGTTCCTCTATCACGCAACCAGCCGATACGGATAGAGGATCGATTCCGAGCGTAAGGGAAACACCTGCTTTCGCTCGACCGGATCCACCACTTCCTTCGGGCTAAAGTGTCAAGTGGATCGTTCGATACATAGTCCGCCCCACAAAGCCGTATCTTAAGTATCTTCAAAGGTCCTTGTGGCGAAATGCTTTGGAGATCGTACGTCCTACGAAACGGTATCTTACCTTTAAAGATCTTCGATGCAAAAGCTTTAAAAATTCTCACGTACGAACTGTCATAGTTCTTTAGTTGAAATATAACATACAATAGAAACTGGACGTCTTTTAGAATGTATTTAGAAAAGACTGTCTTCTAATTTAATCAAATGAAACAGTATCAGCGTCTATGATCTTGGATAGGTGAATGAAAGATTTTGGGATAAAGATTTTGCTGGGGTAGAGTGGATTTTGTTTTCGGGAAGGCTGTATATTTACCCATGTATATGTATAACGTATATACGGGTATCTTTCGGTATTTTGAAACCATTCGGATGCGTATAGAGGTATGCTCTTGAAAACCTACAGGGATGGATCGTTTTTCGTACGGTTCTCACGAAGGGCTGCGGGCCGGCCAGGGAAAGGGACTCGTTATTGGCGATCTTCTCTGACTAAAGAGCGTGACAAGCGTTTGGCATTGCGCAACGAATCGCTTGATACGCTGACTCAGACGGGTGAAATGCAGCGCGGGTGTCCCGCGCGATAGTTGTACGCTCGCCGTTTCGCAAGGTACAGCTCTCTCGCTCGAGTAGGCGGCTACTTTTCTCCTCGCGTGTCTGCCCGTTCGCCTAGCTCCGTGACTCGCGTCTATCTCGTTGCAGAAAGAGTTCGTAGATTAAACGCGTTATCAAGTTCTCCTCGATAATCCATTTCCTCTTCGGCAGGATTTTCTAAACTGAGTTGTTCGTTTTTTTTTTACGACGTCTGGCACATCAGATTCCGATCACAGATTCTTTTCTACGTTTATCAATAGTATCGTCGCGACCGGTGCGTCGACGCACTATGCTTGCTTATTTATCTTCCTCTAAAGAGGAGAAACATTTAGTATTCTCGCGTTGCAGTTAGCATCCGGCTAAGTGGCGACAGCCGCTCCCATCGCGTGCGCACACGGCTTAAATATGTTCGATTCTTCGGCTCCTCCGCCGCGATTCCGTTTCGTTACTCTCCGGGCCTTGAGAGGATGGGTCAACGGATTCGAGGCCCTGACAGTCCGAGGCTCGTGCGAATCAAGTTTTATTTCCATGGTGACCGCGATATTATCGGTAGACCGATTTTCGTTCGGAGTATAAAACGTTTATGGTACGAGATCAAACGTGTTTTAGACGTGGTATATTGCACGGCGAGTATTCTTCGCGGTGACTGCATAAGGCGTGCAATTTAATTATCGCGATCTTGATGGCCTCGTCGAAATCTAGACGAAAACAAATAACGATTTTTCCCCATCTAATCTAACGATTCGAGATCGTTGCACAATAAGATTAAAATTGCACGGTTAATGGATTTCGAGTAGATCAACAAGACGGTGCAAACGATGCGCATTTCGGTGATTGCTATTGTTAAATTGACAAACAACATATGCAATCTAGATTAATCGATGCCGTGCAGACGATCGGCTGATAAGAACTGTCGAAAGAGTTTTCGACTGCTCACGAAAGAGTAAACGAAAAACTACGCGACCAACGATAAAAGAAAAGAAAATACAGAAGCGGCGATACGGCGTGTATTTATAAACGGAGAGTAGGAGAGAGAGAAAGAGAGAGAGAGAGACTGTGAAGAGGAATCAGCGAGGGAGTGAAGAAAATACATGGTTTCAGTGCTAGCATCGATGATGCACGTATGCATCGGGAGATAGATGGCGCCCGAACTGGAAAAGTAATGCTCGTCAAAAGTTTTCCTCGTGTTTTTACGTCGTCGTCGTCGGGTCTGAATGCGTTAAAGAGGGACAAAGCGGAACCGTGCGGGCTGCATCGGCTGGATTGGTAGGAGAGGAACGGAACGGCCGAGGAGCGTGTTTACGCGAGTTAGTGGGGGTAGGCATCACAGCTGAGCGTAGTATAGAGGTGAGCGAGTGACGCGAGGGCGAGTTTAGTTGCGAATGAGCGCTCGTCGGGCGAGCAGCGTCGTTGCGGCGTCGGTCGATAATGTCATCCTCGTGATCGACGAGCAGCAATCGGCTCTTGAACTCTGAATAACCGCTTCCGAGGACGGAGAAAAGGTGCGCGAACACCGTTCATTCGTTCTGACGAGAGTAATTATTATCAGTAGTCTCCGAGGAGGAGCAGTGCACGCATCGTTCGGGGAGTATTATTCAGTGCGAATAAGCGGAAGTGCGAGATAATAATCGTTGACACTTGGCTCGCGAGGAAAGTCGACGTGAAGATTGCCGCGCGAGTGCCCTCGCGTTTTCCGCGCCCGCTTAATATATCGGATATAACGCCCAGTCCTCGAGAATCGACTTTTGTGAGAGTATCACTAGTGGATCGTCGAGGAGGAAACGTATTTTTTCTCGGATAGTGAAGAAACTGAATAGAGAGGAAGATAGAGAAGTGAAGTGACGAAGAAATTTGTTAGAAATGGTGCCGCAACAGCAGGACAGCCCCTCGAGCTCGGGGATTCCTATGTTCGGATCGCTGCTTGTGGATAAAAATTCAGCGACGCCCTACTCGGACGCGACACAGGTTTGTAAATTTCATTTTTCAAACAACGATCTGTCCGCGACTGATAAATATTATCGTTACACGTATCTCGTTTGAATTTTCGAAAGAGACGTTCGCGAGGGCAAACGTTCCGAAGAACTTGTATATAAACTCTCGGAGCAAGAATCGTCTCGCAATTTTTTTATTTTTCTTCTGAATTCGTCCGGAGAAGTCATCGATAACGTTACGTACTGTCATTTCCATGATCGCGTTCAAAGTGTAAGCGAATGCAAAAGGAAACGCAGTACGGTTTATGCAACCGCGAATGTAAAATAAATAAAAACTGGCTAGATAAAACGCGAGTCGTGCTCGCGAGAGGAAGTATGGTGATCGTCGTGGACATTTCCGTTCCGTGTGATTACGTGTTTGTTCTTTTATCGAATTCGCAATAGGGAATGTCAATGAACGCGAACGTGTACGAGTGCGTATGCACACGGTTAGATGCACGCGCCGGGGTCAGTATCGCCAGCTGATCATACGGCCGTGCATACATATGCATACATGCAGAGAACTGGCACGCAACTGGCGATAAACAGAGAGGAAGGCATCCGCGTGCACGTTTACTACGCGTGGAAATAGCAATGTTTAAATAGCAAACTTCTCTGGCTAACAGCGTAGCGAAAGATGAAAGGGAAAATGGGACGCGTGCGTCGCGTTGCTTTGCAAGTAATCGCCGTGCGACGGTCGCAGGCCACGGTCAATGACGAAGGAACACGCGTCTGTATGGTTTTCTTGCCCGCGTGCGACACCCATTACCACACTTTTTTTTCTACCAGCCTTTCACATTTCCAAACGTGAACGCAATATTCGAACGTGAAAACGCCTGAACACTTCGGCTCGACTCGGACAGACGTGTTTTTAATTTTGTAGAACGGATTAAACATCGCGTTTCGATTCGATAACGGTTCCTTTGGTGTATATTAACGAAATACTAAACCGTGTTTATCCGCTTTGAAACATCGTCGAAACGAGATCGCGTTGCTCGATGAAAATGCGATTTAACTGTAATAATGTAGTGGCTCTCGCTATCTGTTGAATAGAAATATAATGCGAAGAGAAATATAGATCGCTGCTGCTGTGCAACACCAACTACGCAACGTTTAGTTTTCAAGGTACTTCAAACACACGCGGCGGCCTCTCTGATAGGAAACACTCGTAACTCTCGTAAATGCAAGTTGCAGTCCGGTTGAAATTTCGAAATTGCCTGCTGGTTGCCTGCTACTCTCTCGCATGCGACATTAAATCATCTCGTACCCAACCGTCTCGATCGTTAAATTTAAAAAGTTGCAAAACATGCTTGTTGGGAACGCGACTTTGAAAAACGACGTTGTTTGCCCCCCCGGTCACGTGGGACGCGTGGAACGATGCGACAGGATGGTTTGCGTGAATGCAGGATGAGATCGTTAGGGATGATTTCGATTTTTTTGGTTCTTCTGTTGCAGACGAAGAAGAACAATCCGAATCACATAAAGAGACCGATGAACGCGTTCATGGTTTGGTCGCAGATCGAGCGTAGAAAGATCTGCGAGATCCAGCCGGACATGCACAACGCGGAGATCAGTAAACGTCTGGGTAGAAGATGGAAAACATTGGACGACGCTGAGAGAAGACCGTTCATCGAGGAGGCGGAACGGCTTAGACAGTTGCACATGGTAGAATACCCGGATTACAAGTACAGGCCGCGAAAGAAAACGTCGAAACCGGCAGCCACGGCGGTCGGCGCGAAGACGTCCGCTGGGAAAAAAGTGAGAAAATCGGTGGTCGGTGGCAAGAGTCGAAACGATAGCAATAACAATATGGCAACGAGCGGAGCGGCGGTCGGTTCGGTGAAGAGGTTGCAACAACATACATCGGTCAATAAAACCGTGTCGCGTTTGAAGGTCAGACTTGCTCTCGATAAGAGACCGGCGCTCGATTACACACCCGCTCCGCCGATCGTCAGCGCGAAGATACCCAGCAGTCCCTCCTGCGTCACGCCGGACTCACCCGAATCGGCGACCTTCTACAGCGAAGAAAACTTCCTGGAGACCAGGTTAGCGGCCATCAGCAACGAGGCCACGTCACCGATGAGGACGGTAACGAAGATCAAACGAGAAGCCAGCTTCGACATGGACTATGAAACGTTCGAGCCAAAGGACAGATTGCTGTCCTCCGTTTCGAACCCGGCAGCAATTACCTTCGCGTCTGTAGAAGACGCGAACAGGATACCCAATCATCACGATCCATCGGCGACGGTGAAAATGGAGATGGACGTAGAGACCTCGGCTATGAACGAATGTTCTGATCGATTAACACAATCGGCCGTGGCCACTGGAACTACGACTATACCCACGATACCTTCTCTGAGCAACGACTTAACGATAAAGTCGGATGATGACAACGACGCCGTCATCGAGAGGATGGAAGAACCGACGAACAATCCCAGCCTGGCGGATCTTTACTCGTTGACGGATCTGCTGCAGATACAGCCGTCGGACTTCAAAATCGATCTAGACATGGAAACGATAGCCACGGACCTGGACACGTTCGAAACTGCTAGCTCTAGCAGTGGATCACACTTTGAGTTCTCGTGCACGCCAGATGTTACGGACATGCTGTCTACCATTGGCGTAGCCAACGACTGGGTCAGCTTTTGAGAGGACCGGGAGGTTCTCTTGAATCTTTATGTACTACGGACGTAGTTTCATCAGTCTTTCATTACGCGTTACGTCGCTCTTTCTATTGTATTACCAAGTTTACTTTTTTCTCGCCGCCTCTTTCCGTTCTTGCTTTGTTAACAACTCTCGTTACTTTCTTCGTGTACTATAGGAGAAACACTTTCGATATACTTACGTGAAACGTTTGATCTCATACATGCTCTTTATCCTTATTGTTCGTTACGAAGCGGTACGTAAATATCTAGTAGGCACTCGTTCATCAAATTGAATCGTTAGTTTATTCGCGACGAGCTCTGCGGATCGCGATCGTTCTTTCTGATCACGACGAAATCGGTGCTGCGTAAAACGAGTTTACGCGACGCAACGTGGGGGTAGGGAACACACTGCCAAATTTCCATTTTACACGGCTGTTTTATTCCCATCGGAAACTCGACTGTATTACGGGTCGTTCTTCTCGTCACTGCCAATCAGCGACAAAGCTGACCGAACTCCTCTCTCCGAGCCCTGTCCCCTTCTATACTTAACGAATCCAATAGGCTGTGAGAATACACGACAATCGACCAATTTTTCCGAATTAAAAAAAGAGAGGTGCTCTTGCAGAGTTTGGAAATGTCGCCATAGGGTCGTCGGCGTTGTCCTTATATCGTAAAGAAGTGAGAACGAGGGATCTCCGTTGAAAATCATTGCTCGTCAATTTTATACAATTTTTCATATGCAAAAGTCGTAAACTCGAAGAATGATTTTCATCGTGAGACCCTTCTGTTTTAGGAGCAATGCTGCAGATTTGTCGAGGAAATGTAGGAGAAAAAATTTGATGCATATACGAAATCGCGAACGTTTTAATTTAAATAATAATAATAATAATCTGCAGTTTATTTTTTCATGAGGTATTTAATAGTAGGATACAGTGCGATTATCCCTCGTTATCAATTCCTCAGTTGTCTATTCTAATCGATGCGCATCTGCCTCCTCCTCCTTCTCCTCCTTACGTGTGCTCTATCTTATCTGAATCGTGCATCTCCTCTTTTCTACCGAAACGAAATTCGGCCGCACCTGCTACAAAACGAGTTTCCCTGAAACGAATATTCACGCTGCTCAATAAAAAGGTGTACCGGAAACGAGAAGTTTGCGTCGCGGCTTCTTCTCGTATAAAAGAGACTACGGCAGGGATCTCAGAATTTATCCCTCGGCCGGAAAGTGGAGACGACGCGACCATGGGGACTGGTACTTGATGGGGATATGCCTAGGCATAGTCAGCGAAGGCGCATGAGGAGAATAATAGTGGGGATCAAAATACGGGCGAAGCGAGCCGTGCGGGATAAATTTTGAGATCCCTGGACTACGGGACCGTCGCCGGGGGAAGAAGTTATTACAGTATTGCGTCGGTGAAAAGTCACGACGTGTCTCTCGACGCTCGTTTTGTAATTTATACCCGTAAGTATACATATAGAGATAAAAAAGAAAACAAAAGAAACGAGAACACACCAAAGTGCAATATTACGCGTATGTATACATATATATTATATATTTGTAAATGTTCAAACGGTGGGAACAAAAGGACAGATCGGCGAGGATAAACGGTCTCGCGAGGAGAGAAAATTCGAAGACATACGAAAGGCAATGGCAATACCGATCTCAATTAATCAGAAAAATAGAAATGTATTTTTCCAATAGAGAATCGCGGCAGGTGTCGGTTTACGCCGTCGCGAATGTACATAGGTATATGTAAAACGTCGTGAAATGAGAAATCTTGCCAGCGAAAATAGCGCGGCCGATATTTTTGCAAATTGAAATTTATAGGTATAGTCGAGCGTTTTTTTACCCGGCGAGTTTGCAACGAGGGATGGGTCGGGGATAAATCTGTCGATTGAGCATGTTTCGTGGAATCGCCTCGTTAGGTCGGTTTGAAATTATTTTTAAGTGACGGAAGAAAGGTCGTCCGAGAATTCGTCTGATCCAGCAAGTGATTTGCCAAATCCTACTTTCCCTCTTATCTTTCTGATTTTCCCTCTATCACGGATTCTCCTCGATTTCGCGAGAGCGAACCTTTTTTTTGTAACCATGCTTCAGACGGGAAGATCGTTCAGCTCCTCTCCTAAATGTTGTAGACTTAAGTTTTTCATAACACACGACGATAGTTTAGTTGCGCCAACGACTAACTTTATACATGTAACAACTGTACATTTGTATTTAGTCCTTTGTTTATAATACGTATTACCCTGTTGTTAAGTATCCAATTTATATAATTTTTTTATCGAACTTATTAAAAAATATTTAAAACCAGCCGCCTATTTTTCTATTTCACCACAATCCGTCCGCTATCGTTTGACATAATGATCGTCGATTTGACGCAACGTTTTATATAATAGTTGATGTAACAAGAGACGTAACTATTGGTAATCACAAAAGGTTTGACACTGAATTAACGAATGCAAGAATTTTCGCCTGATTCAAAATAAGATGTTTCATTCTTTATATTTTACGGTAAAATTCTTTTAGGGAGTCGTCCCTGTTTTCTATCATTACTTCTACTTTTTGGATTCCAAATCGATTTTTAACTGTTTGAAGAGCAGAATGTCTGAATTTTCTTTTCTTAACATCGAAGAACTATTCTTAAGTAGAAGTCAACCTGAATCAACGGCACTATCTTTCGATAGGTTTGTAACATAACGCTAAAACGAATATCTGTGTCGACGTGCGATCTGACCCGTTTCTAAAAGTCAGCCACGGACCGTGACCTAATAAATGCAAGGAATCAGCTGATCATTTAAAAGCGTAAAAGAGGAAGTCGGTTGTTTTGGTTGGACTGGTCTCCTACGAGTATATCTGCATAGGTGAGCGCGCGTGGATCGCGTCGGTGAGCGGCGGAACACTTACTCTCCCAAGTTCTCGCAGTCCGCGTAAATATCGGCTTTTCCTTTCGCGAGCGATCACGCGTCGCACCCGCGCCGTCTCGCGCCACGCGCGTTCACGCTTCACGATGATAATGCGCAGTAAGACTATTAATAGTTGTCGTCGGATGAACAACTTCACCGTACAGCTGTCGTGGCCTGAAAACTGTTTTTTTTTCTCTCTTATTTTCATCGGGCCCTTTCCCCGATCGTTTTTTATTCACGCGTTGCGTTTCGCCTCGCATGTAGATTTATGGAAAATGCAAATATTAAATGAATATTTAGATTTCGTGTTTTCGCATGGGAGTCTGCAGCCGTGTAGACTTTGTATATAGCGATCGTTTAACGAGCGACGGTGTCATTTAAAACCGCGTGAAACGGAGCCAACGCGCTCTCCTGCGGACAGAGAGAGAGAGAGAGAGAGAGAGAGGAGGAACGAGTTGAACGAATCGGGCAGACCGAGTGGTAAAATAATCGCTCAAGGTCTGCGGTGGCGTTGCACCCACTCGTGTATGAGCAGGCTTGCCAACAACCGCACTCCTCCACTGTTTACAATTTACGTGCATCGCCGGAAAATTTTTTATACCTACCTCTCTCTCTCTCTCTCTCTCTCCGGGCAGAATTCGTGCGTCGTAAACGCGATCGTCGGGAGAGGGTTCTAGGAAGAGAACGGAGCCAGATAGAATCTCGACGATGCTAGATAAAAAACGGTATTGCATCGATAAGACGTATGATTTGCGATCAAACCCGATCACCTCGATTCAACAGTCGTTCCCTTCCTTTTTGCAACGAGTAAAAGCACAAGTTTTTTCACCTCTTCCAACACAGAATTTTATACGATTCGAAAGTGTGAAATTCTCAGCCGATCTCGATGGCTCTCTGTACTATGTTTTAAAATTGTAGCAATTGGATTTAATTGAATTTAATTTAATTTCCTTACATACTAAAGTTTATTATAAATGCCGTACATAAAATCCGCAGTCTAAGAATGATATTAGATTTTACAAAAGTGGAATCTCGATGGCTCCCTGTACTATTATTTAAAATCGTAACAATTAGAATTTAATTGAATTTCCTTACATACTAAATTTTATTATAAATGCCNAAACGGAGCCAACGCGCTCTCCTGCGGACAGAGAGAGAGAGAGAGAGAGAGAGAGGAGGAACGAGTTGAACGAATCGGGCAGACCGAGTGGTAAAATAATCGCTCAAGGTCTGCGGTGGCGTTGCACCCACTCGTGTATGAGCAGGCTTGCCAACAACCGCACTCCTCCACTGTTTACAATTTACGTGCATCGCCGGAAAATTTTTTATACCTACCTCTCTCTCTCTCTCTCTCTCTCCGGGCAGAATTCGTGCGTCGTAAACGCGATCGTCGGGAGAGGGTTCTAGGAAGAGAACGGAGCCAGATAGAATCTCGACGATGCTAGATAAAAAACGGTATTGCATCGATAAGACGTATGATTTGCGATCAAACCCGATCACCTCGATTCAACAGTCGTTCCCTTCCTTTTTGCAACGAGTAAAAGCACAAGTTTTTTCACCTCTTCCAACACAGAATTTTATACGATTCGAAAGTGTGAAATTCTCAGCCGATCTCGATGGCTCTCTGTACTATGTTTTAAAATTGTAGCAATTGGATTTAATTGAATTTAATTTAATTTCCTTACATACTAAAGTTTATTATAAATGCCGTACATAAAATCCGCAGTCTAAGAATGATATTAGATTTTACAAAAGTGGAATCTCGATGGCTCCCTGTACTATTATTTAAAATCGTAACAATTAGAATTTAATTGAATTTCCTTACATACTAAATTTTATTATAAATGCCGTACATAAAATCTGCAGTCTAAAAATAATATTAGATTTTAAAAAAAGGGGATCTCGATGGCTCCCTGTACTATTATTTAAAATCGTAATAATTTGAATTTAATTGAATTTAATTGTATTTCCTTACATACTAAATTTTATTAACGCCGTATATAAGATCCGTGGTTTACTAATAATGTCAGATTTTATAAAAATGAAATCTCTGAAAGTGTCCAACAATTCGACAAACGATTTTACCAATTTGCGAGACACGATAGTCTGTGAATAGTTAGGACGAGCGAGAGGGTGGTCGAACGTTGTACCCTTGATAGGAGAGGGTGGACGAAAGGTATCGAGGAGGATGAAAGCGATGGCGGAGTCGCGGCGCAGTAGTGGAGGATGCTGCTGCTGCTGCTGGCTGCATACCGCGAGGTAGAGTATAGCTATCGAGGTCAATGGTTAGTCCAAGGTCCCGAGTTCGAATCTCGCGACTGCGACTCGGCATTTCCTCTCGCGAGCAACGCGAGCCGTTCGTGGAACGTTCGAGGCCGTTCGTCGCGCGCAATTCACGACTGAACACGACCCCCGTGTGCACCTACCTATGCACCATACGTGTATCGCGCGTGCGTGCATTCGGTTTTTTTTTTTTTCGTCGCCCGATTTCGAGGCCGACCGCGGCCTCTGACCCTCGTCCCTCGATTTCGCCTGGGTAAGCAGAGGCCGAACACTTGTTGCCGGAAGTACGCGTTCGTTTGTTCTATGAAGCTCCCCGTGAGTCGTCGGTACGATCGTTGATTTTCGGACGAGTCTGTTTTACGTATGACGCATTGGAGTTGTTGCCGGAAGCGAAAGGTACCGAGCAGCGTGGTTTATAAAAAGGAAACGTCGTAATCGGGCGATAAGCCGCGCGATTGATTCGACGGATAAAAGGTTATTGGTAACACGTGTATATCGCAGGCTGCTGCCAAAACCGGTCGCGATCGGCCGGCAGAAAATGATCTAGTCGCGCCGCCGGTACGCGAACGCTATGAATCACGCGGACGGTTTTAAGTTGGACCGAGTCGTAAACCCCGAGGCCCCGGTGTCTCCGTGTACACGTTCCCATCCTTCTTCGATCTTCCCTTTGTCTCCTCGGGTCACGTCGTGTCGTTCCACGTTTTTTATGGCAATATCAATTGAAAGAAACGCGCGGTAGCTGCTTTAAAGCCGTTCGCACGCGTTGCGTCACTGGACCGCGGATTTCAGATAAGACTCGAGCTGCATCAATTTGAGAAACGAGATTGCAGTTCCTTTTTATCGTTTAACAGCGTTGCGACATGCACTCGATCTCTGATAGCCAACTTATTTTATTTATTATAATTTCCTTCACTGTTCCGTCAAACATGTCGTATCGACGCCAATACGTCGATGATTGATCGGCCTGTGAACGATCTCGAGACAGATTTCACGATGCGACAATTAGAATTGCGAAGCGGAGTTCTGTATCGCCGTTTGAGGAGCCGAAGAAAGCGTGGGTGTGCGCGCGCGCGCGCGTATGCTTGATAACCGTGTCCCGATAGAGCGACCAGTTTCTCCGTGAAAAATCGCGTTCCGTTAGTCAGAGCTTGCGACATTAAACTCGGGTTGCGCGGCTCGGCGTGCTGCATGAGCGACTCCGGGCCGGAGTTTGCACGCGCGACCCACTTATTCCGAGCCTCGGCGAATATAAAAGATCGAACGTGTACAGCAGAATTCCCGGTTACTAGTCCGCGATTAGCCGAGAGAGAAAATTTCGTTACTCTCGACTCGGGAAAGCGAGATAACGCGCGCGCGAACGAGAGCGATCGTTGCTTATCCTCTTTCCTCCCCTCGATAACGCGAATCAGGAACTGCTCCCTTCCGACTCGTAACTACCGCCGATTTACAAGCTCTCACGGAGAGATTACTAATCGCAAAACACGAGAGCAATGTAAACACAGGGACAAGTTATTAATACGTTAAATTTGTAACAACCGTCGTTACAAGTTTATCGACGATACACTTTTTATCGTGTATTTTTCTTGCGCAAGGAATCATGCGTGGTACTTGTTCTTTTTATCGAGTAGAATTCACAGATTCGTTTTACTGTATTTACGGAAGTGTCGGGGCCACACGCGTGGCTCTCGAGCGCATCCACGAAACGGATCCCGCGCGTTGCTTTCGAACGGAAACGCGACGAAGGTCCCCGAGTAGAGGACTCGAGGCCATACCACCCGGTTGGTCTCAAGGTTTTTTCGCTCTGCCTCTTCCTCGCCTTACCATCACCCACTCGTCCATCCGACGTTACTCTGCCCTTTCACTCGCGCTAATTTCGCTCAATTATTTCACGCGAATCGTCCAATAAAATCGAACCGACGTCGCCTGACGCCTGCTCTGTTAAGAATTCCGAGTTCGACGACTACAATCATTTTTACACGTACGATCTTTCACGCGAATTCGATTCGGAATTCGATCGAAAGGGAAAGAGATCCATCGAGCTGGCAGCCGGCAAGCGGAACGCACAGCATACGGCGAACGGCAGACGGCAAACGATAGCTTTCGCCAGAGGATGCTCGGCGACTG